AAGCATGGTGAAGATTGACTTGCAAAAAGCTTATGATTCAGTTGAATGGGCATTCTTGGAACAAGTAATGTTTGGTCTATGATTTCCTGAAATGTTTGTGCAATGGATAATGAAGTTTGTAAGGACAGTTAATTATTCCATGGTGGTTAATGGGCAGAGTACTCAAAGTTTTGATGCAGCTAAAGGGTTCAGACAAGGAGATCCAATGTCTCCTTTCTTGTTTGCAATAACTATGGAGTATCTTAGTAGACTTCTTAAGGGCCTTAAGGATGATAAAGCCTTTAAGTATCATCCTAAATGCTCTAAACTTGATATCACTCACTTGTGTTTCGCAGATGATGTGTTACTTTTTTCTAGAGGAGATCTTGAGTTTGTTAAGGCTATTCAAAGGTGTTTTTCACAGTTTTCTCAAGCTTCAGGATTACAAGCAAACCTCAATAAAAGCTCAATATATTGTGGTGGTATTCAAATGGAAGTAAGGCAGCAGATTGTGCATCAGCTAGGCTACAACATGGAGGAACTTCCTTTTAAATATTTTGGAGTGCCACTATCAACCAAGAAAATGTCAGTTCTTCAATGGTATCCTCTCATTGATAAAATTATGGCAAGAATCAACTCATGGACAACAAGGAAACTATCTTATGCAGGTAGAACTTAGCTAGTGCAGACAGTGTTATTTGGTGTACAATCTTACTGGGCACAATTGTTCATTTTTCCAGCTAAGATAATCAAGCTGATTGGGAGTTTGTGTAGAAGTTATTTTTGGTCGAGTGTTGGACATATTACTAAGAAGCCTTTAATAGCATGGGAGAAAGTATGTTGTCCTAAAAATGAAGGTGGTACGGGATTGATAAATATGCAAGTGTGGAATAGAGCTGTTGTGGCGAACCTATGTTGGGATTAAGCAAATAAAGAAGATAAGCTATGGATCAAATAAATACATGCATACTACTTAAAAGGGTAGAATGAGTGGCAGAAGAGAGATCAAACAAGCTGGATGATCAGGAAAGTAATGAGTGCTAAACATACAATTGATCATGTTCAACAACTGCAAGGAAAAGGGATGATCAAACAAATCTATGATTATCTGAGAGGGGAGAAGCTCAGACCTGAATGGAGGTGTCTCATGTTTAAGAATGCAGCTAGGCCAAAAGCTTACTTCACTCTGTGGATCATGTTGAATAGAAAGCTACCAACAATTGATAGGCTTGCTAAATGGGGAATGGTACTTAATAAAGCTTGTGTCTTATGCAAAAGTGCTGATGAGAGCATAGAACATATATTTATCCAATGTCACTATGCTAGGAAGGTTTGGGAGAGGTTATTAGACTGGATTGATAATCACAGTAGATGTCCAATGACATGGAGCCAGTTTATGCAATGGAGTATTCAACATGGGAAGGGGAAGACTAAAAGTGCACAACTGTTCAAGAGTATACTAGCTGAAGGAGTTTATGGATTGTGGAATGAGAGAAACAAGAGAATTTTTGAAGACAAGAGTAGCTAGGAAAGATAAAGAAGTCAAGGAGATAGCCTATGTGACAATTGCTAGAGCTTCTAATAGTATTAAAAGTGTTGTTAATCAAAGAAAGCTTTGAGTGATAGTTATTAGAGTAGTTGTTAGAGTGATGTTTGTTTGAGGTAAAAGCATGTTATATTAGCTGCTTGTTTTGTAATGTTTTGATTCGGTAAATAATAAAAAGTTAGTTACAAAAAAAATAAAAAAAATACTAATAATTATAATAATAACAATAATAATTATTATTATTATTTAAATAAGAAGAAGAAATATAATAATAATAATAATAAATATAATAATAATAAGAAGAAGAAATATAATAATAATAATAATAATAATAAATATAATAATAATAATAATGATGATGATGATGATG